CGCTTCTACCCGGGGACCGGTGCAACGCCCCCCACTTCTTTTTGGGGTCCACTTCCACCCGAGGACCGGTCCTTCCTTTTTCCAAAAGTCCCGGTTCTAGAAGAGCTAGCTGTAGGTAGTCCGCAATTTTGCCAAGGACCGGTCCCCAAAAATCATTTGTCCCCTAAGAACCCACTTTGCGTCCTGGTCGCCCGCCACCGAAAATGTGACACCTTGACACAGACGCGGAAGCACACTATACCGCAGCCTAAGGACTGCGAATTTTCGACCCGGGGCAAGGTCCCACTTGCACGGATTCAGAGATTCTGGYCGTTGATCTTTGCTATCTACGGTCAATATCGCGTAACTCGTGTAAGTGGGACCTAGCCCCCGATTGCGAATGCAGGCAACTTTATCACTCTTCGTTCTCTGACCTGAGTGTGCTCCGCCCGTGCTATCGCGTGCTTTTTGTCTGTGCCGCTCGACCCGGAGTAATGACAGCATCAGCGAGCTTAGCTGAGGCTTGGACCCCACTGCCCGGCGGCGTGGAACTCATTTTCCATTTCCATGTTTAGTGGACCCCACTGGACCGCCAGGAAGGTGCACCAATGCGAATTCGGGACCCCACTGCCAATGCCGGACTGTAGTGGAAAACCGTCGGAAGCTTTTCCACACGGTCGGCGGCTGGAAGAAACTGTCAGACCATCCGGCGACAGTTTTCCAAAACCTGTGTTTTTTGAGAGTGGGGGGGGCAATCTCTTGAGATGCCGTACCAGGGCACGGGCGGCCTGATCCAGTGCACGATGGGGTGGACCGTTTCTTCGAAGCACGGACGACAGTGGTGCGTCGCACCGTTCGGGTGTGGGACCGTTCCGTTCCGCAGGGATGGCAGTCCTTTTCCACAAGCCGGCGAGACCGTGGCGGTGGGGCCTCGACTTTTTCTGGAAATGGTTCTCCAGACGGCGTTGGCCGTTTTCCGCGGCCAACCATTTTTTCCAACAGCCGAGCAGTGGGGTCCAAGCCTTACAGGCTTTCGCCTCGGGGGGAAGGTCCCACTTGCGCAAATTAGGAGATTTGGGCCGTCGATCTTTGCTATCTACGGTCAGTATCTCTTACTTCATGCAAGTGGGACCTAGCCCCGGAAAGACCCTGCCACAGGTTTTCCATACTCACCTACTCTGCTGGAATTGCCTCATGATCGAACAGCGCAACATTTAAATCCATTTATCACTCGTCTGTCCTAAAATCTGCCATAGGCTCCTAGCATCTATAATTCCAACTACAATAATTCTGAATTACCTGGGGCTCAGGCTGCCGAAAAGTGAAAAATCAAATCCACCATTGCCACCGTCCTCCCTCGCCGTACAGTGTGTGTGTGCGTGTGTGCGTCATTCCGTGTGCTGCTCTACATTGATGCTGGAAGCCGCCCAGAGTCCAACTTTTTGTTCTTCGGCGAAGGAGTGGTGAACAGCTCCGCGCGAAAGAGGTTAACCGCGATCTCCTCCTATCTACTCCTCCTCCTCCTCCTCCTCCTCCTCCTCCTCCTCCTCCCGCTTCTTCAGCTTCCGTCATTGCGGACTCCCCCTGCTTGCGTGCCTTTATATAGGATCTCACTCAAGAATGTCATTGGTTGAGTCCAGACGAGCAACATAT